GAGCCACCCAGGCGCCCCCAAAAAACCCAATTTTATTAAGATTTTATTTATTTATTTGACAGAGCAAGAGAGCCAAGCTGGGGGAACAGTAGGAGGGTGAGGGAGAAGCAGGCTCCCCGCCAAGCAGGGAGCCCGATGCAGGGCTCGATCCCAGGACCCTGGGATCATGACCTGAGCCGAAGGCAGACGCTTAACCATCTGAGCCACCGAGGCGCCCCCCAAAAAACCCAATTTTAAAATGTACAATTCAGTTCAACAGTGTTGTACAACCACCATGTGTATCTAATTCCCAAACATTCTTATCATCCCAAAATAAAACCCCATACCCATTAAGGAGTCACTCCCTAGTCATTCCTCCTCCCTGACACTGGCAAACACTAGTGTGCTTTCTGTCTCTATGGATTTACCTATTCTGGATATTTCATATAAATGGAGTTACTTAACATGTGACCTTTTTGTCTGCCTTCTTTTACATAGCACAATGTTTCTGAGATTGACCCATATTGTAGCATGTGTTAGTACTTCTTTCCTTTTTATGACTGAGTAATATACCACTGTATATGTATACCACACACTTTATTTGTCATTTGTTGATAGAGATTTGGGTTGTCTTCAACTTTTGGTTATTATGAATAGTGCTGCTATAAACATTTGTGTGTAAGTAGTTACAAAAGTATTGTTTTTTACATTTTGAAATAATAGACTAAAATAATCTAATATGGATTAAAACAAAACTATAAAACTAGAAAAAATATAGGGGCATATATTATAATATTAACATGAAGAAAATTCAGAAGCCATAGAGAAAGAAAAATTTACATCTGTGAATATCCTAAGTGAAAAATGTAGGATACAGAAAAATACACAAAGTTTTCTTGGAAAGCATTAAGAAAACACAATCCATAGGGAAAAAAGCAAATAAATAATCAATTCACAGAACAATCAAATAAATAAATTCAAATAGGTACCATTTGTCTAAACTAGCAAAAAATAAAAACAATGATAATATCTAATGCTAGCAGAAATGTGAGGAAATTCTTTAATATTCTTAATATTTATATTCTTAATATTCTTTAATATCTTAATATTTAATATTCTTTAATAAGCTACTAGAAGAAAATAAATTGACATAGTCTTTTAGGACAGTTTAACAGCATCTTAAATGTATATATTTCAAGATCCATCAAACCAATTTCTACACATTTATAGAGAATATACTTTTAAAGTGTGTATATACATCCATTAACAATAATGATGATCATGATTATAATAGCATACATTTAGATAACACACATAATGACCCAGGTACTGTTCTAAGTATTTACATATATTAACTCATTTAAGGATCACTACAACTCTACAAAGTAGGGACCATTATAATCTCCATTTTAAGGAAGAAGAAACTGAAGCAGAGAGACTGAATAAACTACTCAAGGTCATATAATAAGTCAGTCATGGGGGTAAGATATGAATCCAGTCAGTGTAGCTTTAGATCCATGTTTTAAACCAGAATAATCACACAACTGGATAAAGATATGTATGTAACAAGTAGATATTCACTTTAGCCTTGTTTTTAATAATAAAAAATATCTAAATTCGTCAGTAAATGGCTCAAATATGTAGATCACATGTTCTGACTTAGGAAAGATGTTAATGATATACTGTTAAGTTGAAAAACTATTTTAGAGTTGGTGAGGATGTGGAGAAAAAGGAACCCTCGTGCACTGTTTGTAGGAATGTAAATTGGTGCAGCCACTGTGGAAAACAGTATGGAGGTTCCTCAAAAAATTAAAAATAGAAATACCATATGACCCAGTAATTCCACTACTGGGTATTTACCTAAAGAACTCAAAAACACTAATTTGAAAAGATATATGTACCCCTATGTTTACTACAGCATTACTTACAATAGCCAAGATATGGAAGCAACCCAAGTGCCCACTGATAGATGAATGGGTAAAGATGTGGTGTACATATACATACCTGATGGAATATTACTCAGCTGTAAAAAAGGATGAGCTCTTGCAATTTATAACAACTTTGATGGATCTAGAGGGTATCACGCTAAGTGAAATAAGTCTGACAGAGAAAGACAAATATCATGATTTTACTTATATGTGGAATCTAAAAAAAAGCCCAAATGAATAAACAAACAAAAAGCAGAAAAATACCCATAAATACAGAGAACTAATGGTTGCCAGAGGGAGGGATGATGGGGGGGCGGTGGGCAAAATGGGTGAAGGGGAGTGGGAGGAATAGGCTTCCAGTTGTGGAATGAATAAGTCACAGGAATAAAAGGTACAGTATAGGGAATCAAGTCAATGGTATTGTAATAGCATTGTATGGTCACATGGTAGCAATTTATGGTGACCATATATTTGTAGTGAGCACAGCCTAATACATAAACTTGTTGAATCACTATTTTGTAGAACTGAAACTAATGTAACACTGTGTGTCAACTATACTTCAATTAAAAAAAATTTAAAAATATTTCAGCAGAACTCAATATACTATATGACCTTACTTTTGCATTCAAAATTCTATATCACATATGTTTGCTTAAGTCTGGTAGCACACACAGGAAACTGTTACCACTGTGGGGGTAGAGTCAGAAAGGAGGAAATTTTTTGTATTTTTTTAGCAATAAATGCTCATTATAACTTTTAAGAAATGCATGCAAATAGAAAAAATAATAATGGTAAAAAAATTATCCATAACCATGATTACCATTTTGGTAATATAAATTTCTGAATTCCAAGAAACTCAGTTCCTTTAACAATCTGGAATACATAAGTTCAAAAACTGTCGGGAATTCTTGGGGAAAAAACCCAAACAATACAATTATTTTTCTGAACACATAGAAACAATAGTTAGTATAAGTCCTTTTAGAATTAAGTTGGCACTGAACATGGAGGAACCAGAATAATTTGGGGAGGAAAACATTTATTGTGTCTTATAATTTACTTAATACTTCTATGGATGTCCACTGTGTCAGACACTGAAAATACTCTGTTGATTAAGGCGGTTATGATTCTGGCCCTCATGGAGTTGATAATCTAATAGGAAAGAAAAGTAAAAAATGAATAAATACATAAAATAATTACAGCATGTGATAAGTGTTATAAAAAATAGACAGGGTATTATGGTAAAGAATAATAGAAGGAGAGGGACCTATTTGTGAAAGAATAGTCCAAGATTGCCTCTCTGAAGAACTACTGAGCCAGCCAAGAGAAAAACTGGGAGAAGATTTCTGATATAGGAAACAGCAAATGCAAAAGCCTCAGTGTACTCTACGTATTATAATCAGAGCAAAATGAGCTGGGGAGAAAGATCTGAGATGATGTTGGAGAGGTAGGTAGTGGTGAGACCATATAAGGTCTTGTATCTGAGCAAACAGTTTGGATTTTATTCTAAGTACAATGAAAAGTCACTGAGTAATTTAAGTGATTTATATGATCTAATTTAAGTTTAAAAATGTCTCTCTGGCTTATGTGTACAAAATGGATTCTAAGGGGACCAAAACAGAAAGAAGGAGGCCAGTTAGGAAACTCAGATGGAGAGGGCCTTGGAAGGTAGGAGTAGAGACCAGGAAGAGTAAATGGATCTAGATTATACTTCTGGAGGTAAAACTGACAAGATTCCCAGATTGTCTGGACATAAGAAGTGAGGAATCAAGAAAGCTTGACCATTTATGCTTGAACAACTCAGTACGAAGGTACTATTTATTGAAACAAGAAAGACCCAAAGGAAGCCAAAGAACAATGTCCCAGAAGCTAAGGGAACAATGTTTTGCTAAGAAGGGAGTGGTCAGTTGTGTCAAGTGCTGCCGAAGAATTTAAGTAAGATGAGGAGAGAAAAGTACCTACTGGATTTGACAACATGGTGACTCTTGATGTCCGTGACAAATGCACTTCCATCTCAATAGAAGGGAGGAAAGTCACACTGCAATGGGCTGAAGAGTGAATGGAAGGTGAGGAAGTCAGTTATGTATAGACAGCCCTTAAATTTTGTTTTTCTCAGATCAGAGATAGAAGGCTACAACTGAAGGGGGAGAGGGGCAGGACTAGGGAAAAGTGGCCAAAGGAGAAATGGTTTTGTTCTTTTTGTTTTTTAAGATAAAAGTTACCAAAGCATGTTTGTGGTTAAGAGCAATGCAGAAGACAGGGAAAGATTAAGAAAAAGGGGACTGCAGTTTTAGAAGAGTAAGAATGGTTAGGGCTTCATATCACACATCAGCCTCTCTATTGAAATGTAAGTAAACAGGGATGCCTCGGTGGCACTTAAGCGTCCAACTCTTGGTTTCGGCTCAGGTCAGATCTCAGGGTCGTGAGACTGAGCCCTGTGTAGGGTGCCACGCTCAGCGCGGAGTCTACTTGAATTTCTCTCTCCCTCTGCCCCTCCCCCTACCCGTGCACGGGGTTCTCTCTCAAATAATTAAAAAAAAAAATAAACATAAGTAAACATATTTACATATGTTAGAGGACAGTTACCATTTCTAGGTTTTCTACCTGTATTTTCATATCATGGCTATGTAGATGACAGGGTGTTAATTAAGCACACTGCAAAGACCACATGAATTGGATTTTAAAGTAGAAAAATAAAATTTAACATGAAAGCCATATAATAAGATTAGTACTTATGAAAAGAAAAAAATCCATATAATTTTTTTATTAAAAAAAACCAAACAATAAAACCTTACCTCTCGTTTGTCTAATGCAGCATATTCAGCTTCTATTTCTTCAGCTTCAGGATCTCGTGAGAATACCATTTGTGATTCCAGATTGAGAGCCAAATCTTTATGGTGTTGCTTTTCAGCACAATCACAAGGAGTGTCTTTATTTTCATTCTCAGCAAACAAGTCTCCTCCATGTTTTACTAAAAGCTAAAAAAGATTTTTTCAAAAATTTGCAACCACAGATTTAAACAAGTTATTTCATGCCACATATTTGAAAAAATTAACAATATAATGAAACACAACAAAAACATAAAAGTAAGTACTTGCAATGACAAAAATTATTTAGATACCAGTGGCTTTTGATTTTAAGACGGCAAGTCTTGGTTATTAGGATGATTTCCTTTGGTTAAAAACAATAACAACAAAAGCCAATTTATTACTTTAAAAAGAAATACTTAAACATTCTGTCCAATCAAAAAAATAGTTTTACTTAAAAATAAAAACATTTTATGGTTACTCAATGCTTTAGATTTTATAAATTTCCATAAATTTTCTTAAACAAGAACACTGCTGATACTGTTACTTTTACCACTAATGTCTGAATGCCTGACATGGCAGACAAAAGTTTTCATTTGTATCCTCATTATCCAGTCCAACACTGAACTGAAATTAGGATGAGCAAATCACTGAAGCAAAACTGTTTCCAACATTCCTCAAAATAAGTGATGAGAATAAGCACTAATAACCAAGCTGGGAAGACACTATATCAAACAATCTTTCAATTTTTATTTATTTATTTATTTATTTATTTATTTTAAGATTTTATTTATTTGACAGAGAGAGAGACAGCAAGAGAGGGAACACAAGCAGAGGGAGTGGGAGAGGGAGAAGCAGGCTTCCTGCTGAGCAGGGAGCCCGATGCGGGGCTCGATCCCAGGACTCTGGGATCATGACCTGAGCCGAAGGCAGACGCTCAATGACTGAGCCACCCAGGTGCCCCAATCTTTCAATTTTTAAAGGTGGGATTTTGCCCAAAGAAATCTCACCTTAAAAATACATGAAAGAAAAAAAAATACATGAAAGAGTAAAAACAAAACAAAACAAAACATGGAAGAGTGACTTGACTTGTTTACTACTGAGGTTTCTGATGGTTTTGCAAAATTAAATATGTTGTTACTAAAGGCTGTCGGTTCAAATTTCCCCATTATGTCTGCAGAGACATTAGGAAGGACATAAATGCCACGAGGACCATAATCTAGGACATAATCTACCTTAAAGAATATCCTGACAATTAGTCATGGAGCTGATTCTTTTATACAATTCAGTCATGACCATAATAACATAGTAACAGCCACCATTTATTGTCTTCTAAGTTCCAAGCACTATGTTAAGTATTTCAAATACACACGCTTATTTATAAACAACCCCAGGGACATTATGATGTCTCAGAAAAGTTAAGTAACTTAACCAAAGCTACCCACCTATTAAGCAGAAGAACTGGGATTCACACCCAAGTTGGACCAATTTCTTATAACCATAACTAGATATTGTACCGCCACACAGAATAGGTTGATCACATAAATTAAAATAGGTCAAATGTATCCTGGGTCCACGGTAAAGTTCCACTCAGATCTTACTTATGATCTAAATATGAATAGCTTTAGTTTTCATTTATTATGGCATCAAATAAAAAGGTAGTTTTCTTCCATATAATTTTATCTCCCCTCCCTCCAATAAACATAGAGATCTTCTTCTTATAAAGTTCCTTTATTGCTTTTGGAATTGGAATCCTTATGATTCCTCTATAGTCATCCCAAGAGGCCTGATGAAATAAGGGACTTCTATCAATGTCGGGGTTGAGAGCCATGGGCTAATTTGACAAGCCCAATGGATATGACTTCAGCTTCTTGCTTGAGGCTGAGAGTATACCTCAGAGCTAAAACGGTTAAAAAAATTTTTTTTTAATTGTAAAAGCAAGCATAGAAACAAATCAAGAAGAATATGGCTAATGGCCACAAAGTGCAAAATATTTACTCTTTACATCTGGCCCTTTACAAAAAACAAACTTGCTAGGCATAGCTCTAAGCAGTCACTGTTGCAGCCACATTCTAGAGCCTGAGGGCAAGGTCATATTAGATGCTATTTACCACCCAGAACCTCTCTAGTCAAAGTCTGGGGATCAGTAGTACTACCTGGGAGTTTGTTAGAAATGCTGAATCTCAGGGGCGCCTGGGTGGCTCAGTTGGTTAAGCGACTGCCTTCGGCTCAGGTCATGATCCTGGAGTCCCTGGATCGAGTCCCACATCGGGCTCCCTGCTCGGCGGGGAGTCTGCTTCTCCCTCTGACCCTCCCCCCTCTCATGTGTTCTCTCTCATTCTCTCTCTCAAATAAATGGATAAAATCTTTAAAAAAAAAAGAAATGCTGAATCTCAGCATAACCACCCAAACCCCTCCCACTCTAGGCCTCTGAATCAGAATCTGATTCTGATGTTCAAGAGATTCTTATGCACATGAAAATTTGAGGGGTCAGTCAGTTAAGCGTCTGCCTGTGGCTCAGGTTGTGATCTCAGAGTCCTGGGATCGAGCCCCGTGTTGGGCTCCCTGCTCAGCGGGGAGTCTGCTTCTCCCTCTCCCTCTGCGCCTCCCCCTGCTCTCTCTTGCACGCGCATTCTCTCTCTCTCTCAAATAAAGGAATAAAATCTTTAAAAAAAAATCTTGATAAGCAGTGACCCTAGACTACTACCTATGTTGCTGTTGAAATGGATATATTTATATGACCAGCATACTGAGGTACTGGGGACTTGTAGAAAGTCCACAGACTTACCATACCTATAGCAGAGTCTATTACTGTTTTTAGCCTTTCTGCTTGCTCCACAGCTTAGCCAATCCTAACAGAGAATTAACTATTTGCTTCTGACTACTATGGAATTAGGAGAGCCAACTTCATTTTCTGGTTCTTTATTCAGAGTAGCAGAAAATGATTTCTGAAATGCACACTGGGAAAGCTTTCAAAGCCATGATTTGATTTACTTTACAACAGATATTACCACAGAAGAGATTCTAAATATTAGCGAACAAGATAAATCATCTTTAACTTAATGCCCCAGTCTTTAACAAAAGGAAAGACAACAAAATTTAAGAGGTTGTGCCATTCTGGAATATTGGTAAGGGGAACCTTCTTAAAAGGATATGCTGGAGTATAGACTGCATTCTTTGGCGTTTAAAAAAAATGGGTGTGTGAAGAGGGTATGTGTGAGAAGTCCTTGTTGAGAGTCACTGTTGAACATACTTGGAACTTGGGTGAGATTTCTTGACTTCATTGATAATCTGTCTTTGAAAGGGGTCCTCAAATGACTGGAGTGGAGGTGAAGTGACTACAAAGACCTATATCTCATTGCTGCAACTGGCACCTGGAGAGAAACTCATAACTGGTGATGAAATGCACGGTCCACGTTTGCAGCATTTGTTTCGGCAAGGAAAATCAGCATTGTGTACCTCTGGTACAGAAGCTAGCTAAACGGCAGTAGTGCTTGACACTGGAGCAGTACTTAAAAAAGGGCTTCAGCTTACTGACATTTGGGGCATGAAGTTGGGAACACCAATAAGTGAAAGATGTATTAGGTAGGGGTATTAGTGAACTGGATGCTGCAAAAGTCAGGGGTTTTGCTTTTATATAATAAGGGAGTTACATCTGGTTCTGAAGAGATAGTTTTTAAATGCTTCAACCAAAGCATTCTAACTATCATTTTCCTCACTCTTAAAGCAAGGAGAACTGAATATTCAAATGTGATTTTTAGCCTCTCTGGCACACTCAGTGGTACATAAAATGTTCTACCTTAAAAGAAACATCCAATTATCACTATCTCAACACATCTGTTCATTTATTTTGCCTTCCTTTCTGTTTCCAATCTCAGAGAAAGAGGGGTAGGACAGCCCCTAGTACACAAGACAAATCCCTTCCACCCCTTTGATCCATAATCTAAAGAGCTGGGACTCTGGACAAATCAATTAACTTCTTTAAGTCTCAATTTACACAGGTCCATCTGTAAAATGAGGCTTATATAATCCTGAGAAAAGATGTTACAAAACAAGATGACTGCTGAAGTCTGTTCTAGTTGAAAATTACCATTTCATCATCTCTATTTCCTGTGTGACCTCGAGCACTCCATTACCCCTCTATCTCCACTCTCTGACTTTCTAAGGGCTCCTGGTACAGGCGTTCTTTATCTTAATTCTGTTATCCTTCCAGTTACTTTCCTAATATTTTCCTTTCTTTCTCAGCCACATTTTTCAAATTAGTGACAGACACCCACTGTCTCTCCACTTCCTTAGCAAAAGACTCAATTACTCCCAGCAGTCTGACGTCTACCCTGACCATTTCACTAAAACAGTATTTCTGAAAATCATTAGTACTCTCAAATTCAACAGCCTCTCTTAGTGTTCTATTTGCTTTACCTCTTTGCAGCATGTCACATGACTGATTACCTCCTCCCCTTGAAATCTTCTCTTGGCATCCCTGACAGTATTATCTCAGTTCTCTTCTCTGCTTTTTCTATTTGCTTTATAGGCCACTTCTTTTCACTCGCTTTAAACACAGGCATTCTCCAAATGGGTGCTGTGACTTTAATTCTAATTTTTCTATAATCTAAAATCTTTTCCTTGGATTTCTCATCTCTACCTTATCTTGTTTTTAGTTACCAACTCCATGCAGAAGACACTCAATTCTAAATCTATATTCTTTACTCCCAAACAACTAGTACTAATTTTCAATAGCCTGAACACCATTTCATGTAGCTCATCTAAGACCTCAATCTCCATCCTTCTAAATGAAAACTCAATACGGTCTCCCTTCCTTTCAACTAATTCCTTTACCTCATCTTACTTTTTAAATGTCTGTTAATTGTCAGCAGGCTTTAAAGTGACCCAGGTTCAAAACCATGCTCATTCTACTTAAAAATAATTTATTTTACCTTAAGTACAAACAACGATAGCAGATTGTTATAGAAAATGTGGAAAACCAATGAGAGAACAATTATATCACCCAAAGACAGCCTCCATTTTTTTTTTTTAAATGCACACATTTTACTTTTTTAAGTAAGCTCTAGGCCTAATGAGGGGCTTGAACTCATGATCCTGAGATCAAGAGTCACGTGCTCTGTGCTCTACCTGCTCTGTGCTCTACCGACTGAAACAGCCAGGTGCCCTTA